AGTTATCTCCAATCTATCGTTCAATACTCGAATTTACAGAACATGATATCTTTTTATGTAAAATTTTTTACATCAATTGTTCTAGTTTACAAAGAGCTTTTTATTTTTTATTTGCAGTTAAATCGAAAACTCTTGTTGACGCTTTGAAAATTTGTTTTGAAGAGGAGGTCTCGAGATTAGACTCGACTGCATTTGACAGAAATTTGATTGATAAGAATCGATAGAATTGATAGGAATTGATTGTCCTCGAATACTTGTTTTCATTAGAATTGTGAATTGTTAATATATCAGTTCGAGCTATAACCGCTCGATCTTTTATGGAGTAGATAAGACCTTTAGCTTAGTTCGCATGTCCACTGTTGCGGATTCCGCAGAATTGAATTACAACTCCAAGACGACGTAATAAAGCTCCTCCTCCTATATATCCTTGTCCGCCCGTCGTCGAGATAATATAACAGGAAACAAATCAACTTCCTACCGACTATCTTCTTTAGGGATTATCCAAAAAGATATCGATCAGCGACGAGCTAGTTTCTGATTCGCAAGGCGGGTTTAATGCATTACAGCTGTTTAAACATCAATTATAGTCGACGATAAAAGTGATTATTATCAATCTGCATCAAGCTTGAAAAGTCTATTATATTTTGACAGTTGTTAATAAATTGCATATAATTATGTAAAAAGCAACCCAGCAAACAAGTTGATGTTATTTATTGTTATTTTGACATTATAGATGTCAGTTTGGCGTCAAAATGATGATAAATAACGTCAGCTTGCCGGGGAGGTTTTATAACAAAACGTTAAAAAAATTAAAGCAGAAGTTTTCGTTCCGTTTTCGGCTTCCGGGCACTTTATCATTCATTTCAAGCCACTTCTAAGGTGCTGACGAACGACGGATATTTTTTTCAATTTTCGCTTTAAGCGGCACAACTGCCGTGGAAAATGGATCCTCCGATACCACTATTGTTGACCAGCGTGATAAACTGACCTCACATACGTCTTCTTTTGTTTCAGAAATACCCCGCGCGCTGTTACGTAACCATTTATTTTTAGTTGGCCACCAATTTTCTGCATTGTATCCTGCAATCCGACCTCTTCCAATATAGAAAGAAATGATCAAAGCTGCGGAAGTGTTTTCGACGCTGTTAAAGATACACTTTACACAATTGCAGTTTTTTAATCGAAGTTCCCGCGAAACGACTTAATTCTGCAATGTGTCATTCTTTTTTCTTTATTTGCATAATAAATTAGTGTAACATTTGCAATGATTGCAGACGTGAAATAGAAAAGCCAAACTCTCTTTTTATATACAGAAAGAATGACTTTGCTAAAGCATCTAAAACTTTAGCTGGATACATCAGATCAAAAGTAATTTTATTGGACCATCAAAATGTTATGTAGATAATTCAAGTACAATGGACAATGCAAAAGTTTGGACAAATTAAAAAATTACAAAAATTAGAGGACTATTCGAGCCACCCTAGATGTACAAATTATTATATATAAACAATAAATTAGTCAGTAAATTAAATCACGACATCCAGCGTGGCTTGAATAGCCCTCTAATTTTTGTAATTTTTGAACTTATATTCTTGGGAGCTTTATAATTTATTTGATGAATTTTAGTCTTGCAAATTATTTTGATGATCTAATAAAATTATTTTTCCATCTGTATCTGGCTAAATTTTTAGATATTTCAGCAAGACGTTCTTTCCGTATATAGAATTTTATTCTAACTGAACAGCGTGAAAGTCAAGAAAGTTTTCATTCAGGAATAAATTTTTTTTATTTCATTTTTGGTCAAGCTACACATCTTTGTTTCTTTCTTTAAAGCAAGAATTCGTGGATGAATGGACGTTGCTTAACCGACCATGGGAAACACACGTTTTGAATTCAGCCGCAGGTCTGATTCCGTATAGATAACGAAGATGAGTTTTACGAGATCGTACGGCCGTTGCGATTCAATTTAGCGACAGTATGAACTCGTGCCGACTTGGAAAGATATTCTACGATGTTACGAGATTACCAGGATAAGAACGAGCTCGAGATCTTTTCGTGGCAAAACGAAACTTCGCCTTTCTTGTTACCCGCTGGCCATTTTTCTTTACGAATGGACCGACCAACTGTCCCGCCTTCGCACAAATTTTCGCTAAGATTTTATTACGTTACTGGATCATCCATTTAAAGGCCTGTAAGATATCCGCCGCCAGCTACCGTCGATCATATGATGTCCAAAAGTTAGAAACGCCAACAATTCTTTGTGACTTATGGCTATGGGAAAAAAAGAAAAATATATCTGCACCTGTGAGAAATAAAAGCATTTAAATTCAAAATTATTCGTTTTCACATATAATTTGCAAAAACATTTACTGTTATTTTACTATAATGCTGCCTTGTCAAGATCGAATAATATGATGTATATAAAGTATACATGTATAATATAAACAAACAATCTTCTCCTGCTTTTTCTCTTGACTGTACGTTCGATAAGAGAATTTACCTTTAACCTTTTTTTATTCCATTGTAACTAACCCTTGGAAGTCTGAAAGAGACAAACATTGTTACTATTTCGCAGAATACAGTCTCCGCTCGTATTTACGATTGAAGACATCACATGGAAAGCTAAATTCGGACTTAAAGAGAAAGATATTGGTTTTATTGTCCTTTTATTTGACTTTTCCATTTTTCTCTTTTTTTTTCATGATACGACTTTGATTTGGGCTCAGGCCGGAGGCTACCGCAGGAGTTTTGTCGCTTTTATCGAGGGAAACTTTCTTTCATAACATTATCAGCAAAGTGCTGATCTGTTCATTCTTAGTGCCACATTAAAGTGATATTACAACGAAAATGGAGCACAAACGCAATTTTCCTTTCGCGGTTTTTCAACGCGATATAAATTTTTTTGCTGATGTTCGTAGAGTCATCGAACTCATTTTGGCACTCGGCCATTTGCGAAAGAATTCGTGGGAGCCGTGTAGATTTTTAGGAGGAATTTTCAAGCGACATAAAAAATGTATGGATACTAGCATGTGACATTTAAATTTAAAGCAAGTATTCTCAAACTTTTAAAATAATGTACTTAGAGGGGGTTAAAATATTGTAATCGATATTACAACAAAAGATTTCTTAGGATCGTCAATGTGAATACACAACTAATAAGGAATAAAGGTCTTTAATTTCGTCAAGTTGGATCTTAAGTACTTGAATGATTCAATGTAAATTTATATATTATCGTAATATTTTTTGAAGGACATGAATTTGAGCAGAATTTCTAAAAATTTAATGAGAAAGTGGTAAATTAAAGCGAGAAAATTGCCAAAGCAATTTAATGTCTTTCTACAATGCAGAATTCTGCAATATACAAAATTTGAAGTGCGATAATTCATAGCTTTTGAAATATTAATATTCTTGCGTTAAAAAAAAAATAACATACCTTATTAAACTTTAACAACAGCGAATATCGAATTTACTTATTGCTTATGCTTTACATAAAATTAAAACTAATTTTAACTTTGCGTAATTTCTCTTTTAACATTAATTGTTATCCTGTTCAAATGTAAATCAAGACAGAAATTTACTGAATTAAAACACGCTCGTTTCGTAGCTTTAATAACTCTTAACAGCGACACAAATGATTAAAGCAGCTCCACCGAGATACGTGGCAAACACGCATTCGCTCTTTCATGTATTACAGCATCTCTCGTTGCTACGTACATTTAATTCGCACGACATGCCACACAGGCGCGAAGAGGTCCCATCGTGATGTAACTTTTAGCAGCCTTGTATCAACACGACGCAGTCTGCAAACTTAACTTATTAACGGGGGCGCGTTACACGTAATTTCGTCCGGCGTTGTATAATCATGCCGTCGCGCCGATTTCAAATATTTGACTAAACTACGTACGGATGCGATACGCGATGCGTTACGAGACTGATCGTTACGCACGCATTATCGGTGAGAATTGCTTCTCGCTGGATCGCGTAAACGACGTTATATACGAACCACGGCTCGAACCACGAAACCTCGTCGCTAGCAATTCGCCGGAGAACTGGCGCAAACATTTGCGCTGGGGATTGTTTAACAGTCTCCGCAACACACGAAAACGATGCAAACCAATCCAGTCTTTGCTGCCTTCGAAGTTCGACGGGCATCGAGAAATCCCACGTGTCACACATCGCAAATATACTCTAGAAAATGATCAAGTCGATTGTTACTCTCCTCCTATTCTGTCAATTGCTCAAGATCGGAAAATGTCTGCAGGTGAACGGCACTCACAATGAAAATTCAGAGACGGCGCAGCGATTCAGGTTGCGAAGGAGCCTTACGTTTCTCAATTCGTCTCAGCTTTTGGTATGTAATTAATTAATAAATGAAATATTGCATCACTTACTTGAATTTGATGCTCATCGTTGATTGCTCAATGAGAGAAAATGTATATAATTTTATAATCATGCATAGGATTTTATTATTAAGGGAAAAGAAAATAATTAATATTACATAATATATTTATATATAATGTTACCATTAATTGATCGGCGCAATTTCCGCTACTCTGATAATTAAAACTACTGTCGGGATCGTGCGTGTCAGAAAATGAATGTACACGGCCATTTTCGTGCGCGTCATTCTTCCTCGCGTTCGTCCAATTTTCCGGACAGCGTGTTTTCCACAAATACCATTACGATGATTGTCACCTACATTTCTGAGCTTCGAAGAGACGAGAGAACGAACGCGAATTGCACGAAGAAAGTAGTGATGGGTATTTATTTTCGACGTTTTTTTCGGCGACACGGATAATTATTCGCCTCATACGCGTTGACATCGACGGAGAATTATTTGATGACCGATATTCCGACGTACAACCCGTCGATCTTTCGTGGTCCATTCAATTTATGACAGCTGGCATCCGGCTAGAGACGAAAAGGTTTACGCGGACATGAGATCGCACATCTGTACAGGATGTTACCGATACAACGCGGACGTAACACATGCTGGTCGCGTATGAATTTCGATAAAATCGCGAGAATTTCTACGGAAGATCGTATCTCGGCACGACAGCCTCTGGAGAGGACAGTTTAACGAGATTCAGCCCGGGCTGCGGTTTTTTTTTATATATTCGTGTCGTCGAAGCCGTCGGCGAATGAAATCGATACATTTCGCAAACCGATGATAGACTATTGGTTAGTCTGGCGATGTAGAAGCGAATGCGGGGAGACATTCATTACTCGCACTAATTGAAGATACGATTGGATCGACGACTTAAGTTGGAAAATAGAATTCGGAGAATATTGCAGTCCTAGTTTCAGTAAGCGGTAAGCGAGTATTTTCCTGCGCATTGAAAGCGCAGAAAAGTGCGAAGAGTGCCAGGATTTTTGTCCAGCGTTAACACGTTTTTACCGAAGCGTGGAACACATTTATTTAAAAATTAACAAAAAGAAGAGCATAAAATATCCACAAGATATTCTTTGTAATATTTAATGTATAATTATAATTTAATTTATAAATAATTTCGTTTGTAAATTATTTATAAACGTAATTATATATTAAATATCACAAAGACTATCTTGTGCTGTGGTTTTATGCTCTTCTTTTTGTTAATTTTGGATTTATAAACCACGTTTGTTATAATTATACATTTATTTAATAAATGTGCGAGATGAAAGCTTGTTAAATTTATGAACAAACTTTTTATTTTCATTTCTGCAAGCAGTAATAAAGTTTTATAAAAAATTTTGAATTAAATTTACATTAATTCTACGATCAAATAAGTAAGCTATAAATTAGAATCAGAAAATCAGAATTTCGTAGAGTATTTCGTAAAATTTGAGAAAATACTTACAAATAATTCTTGTATTACAATCAGGAAAGAATGGTTTTCAAAGTGTATCTAAAAATTTAGCTACATAAATGTTTGAAAATAATTTTGTTAAACTATCAAAATAATTATATGAGCCGCTCGGCCTAGTAACTTTTTGCGGGATTATGCTTGAGCAGCTTACATACAGTAATTTTGATAGTCCAACAAATTATTTTCTATATCTAGCTAAATTTTTATACTTCAGCAAAATCTCTTCGTGTATAATACTGTAAATAATAAATCTATTATTGTACTTAGAACGAAATCTATTATTATATTAAAATAAAGGACGACACATCTGTGACGTCATAACTTAAAGCCATAAGTTTATATCTGTTACTAGAGGGAAAAAGAAAGAGAGTAAGCGCGATAATTTTCAAAGCTTGAAATATTTCGAACGCGAAAGGAATAGCCTTCGTCGGCAAGAGACATTCACGCCGGAATTACGCTCGTACGGATGCGCTCGCAATCAATTATTCGCGCATAATGTCGGGTCCGAGCGCGTATTGTTTGTTCCGTGAGAGAGAGAGAGGGGCAAAAGAATTATTGCATGTCGGCTCCTTTTTTTCTTCGGTGTGCATTTTCCATCTCCTTCTACCTTCTCCTTCTGGGCGAGGCTGTAGTATCCAGATACTCGGCGGCGGAACGATTCTACGCGGAAATTTGCGGTTTTATCGGAAATTCATACGAGGGATGGTCCGCGCAACCCCGGCGCGGAAATTGGACGAACTTCGTACGACCCACGGAATTCGGAATCCACGACGTGTGTGCGGCCGCGGTCATCGCGATTCATCCTCGTTGTGTATACAACGCTCGACATCACCGTACATGGCACTGCCAGCGAGAATAATTAAATGCGCGGAACGGTCGTATCATTTTCTCGACACGGCGAAGCTGGCAATAATCATGTTGAATGACGATGATCGTCGCTACTTAATAGAATTAGTAATTTAAAATGAAACTTATAGCGAAGCAGAGAAATTTAAATAAAAAAATGATTCTTTTGAATATATCTGTAGCTATAAATCCCTTGCAATACTGAGAAAAAAATTGTTTATTTGACTAACTTAATTCATTGTCTTAATTTCTGTCGTTGAAGAATATATGTAGTTAAGTCAAATATGATATGTTTGACGTAAATACTTACATATTTCATCAAAAGAAATAAACTGAATTAATTTAATCAAATAAACAATTTTTTTTCTCAATGTTGTAATTAACAATAAATAGTACAGTGAAAAATCTGAAACTATTAGAAATTCGTTAAAAATGTCGAAATATAATATAAGTATTATAATCTTTTAAAATTAATATTTTAAACTCCTTTTGATTTGCCCTTATTACGAAAAATCTTATTAATCTTGGCTTTTGATTCTCAACTGATTTACTCATATTTTGTTTCAATGAAGTTAAGTTCCTTAGGTATTTATTGTCGAAAAGAGAATTTGAAAAAGTTAAACTACTTTTAAGAAATTTTGCAAACCGACAGTTGGACAGACAGTAGTTTGCTACTCTCTAAAACTTTTAGAATAAATTGTCACTCTTAAAAATGGACTCTCATTCTTAAAGATCGAAAATTAAACCACCCTTTTTCAAGAATGGCTCAATTTTCACTCTTTAAAGTAAGATTTCACTTTAAAGAATTTAGAGTTACTGCATTATTCAATAAAGAAAAAAATAAAATTACGAAATAGGTCTATTTAAGAAAACTTTTAGATGGATTTGATTTGATAATAAAGCGGTAATAACGTGGAATATCGCAACGCGAAGATAAGCGTTGTGAAAATGATTTCTAATGAGAGTATCGTTATGTTTCATTCGCTTGAATATCATTTTCTGCTTTCACAGCTGATCTTGGGTTTAGGCACACCGTTGCAGCTGGATCGCGAGAGCGTAATCGTGGGTGTATTTACGAAAATGATATACGACATGCCGGCTGATGCTACGGATTTCACGGAACCAGGAGTGTTTTATGCAAGAACCAGTAGAAGTAGGTGGAGCTTCTACAAATTGTTTGAAAAAATGGCAGCCATGTACGGCTTTGGCGGCAAAGAGTGTTTACTCAAGGCCATTTGCGAAGCCGCTTTCGTCCCATTTGACGTCCATCACGGTTTACTGGGACAATTGGTACAGACTTTCCTTAGGTAAATGAACCATGTGCTATTTGAGAAAATTGGCATACTTGAATATCGCGGCGCGACGCGAAACGTAAATCTTTTTTTTCAGATACGTTAGATACATTGAGAAAAATTTCTAGTTGTAAATGAATGAAGAAAATTCCAAATCATATTAGTCAGAATTCTGATTATCTCAATTGTCTCTTTCCTTGAATTTTACATGGATAGATGATTTTGCTACAGATCTAAAAATTTTTAAATACAGAAGATAATTTTGTTGGACTATCAAAATAATTCTGGAAGACTCTCAAGCTGATTGCTAGAATATCACAAACTTTCTCAGCGCTGCTGACATTCCTACAGCATGCTTGAAATTCCTATAATTATTTCAATCCAAAGCAATTATTTTCAAATCTGTATCTAAGTTAATTTTTTAGATATTTCAGCAAAATCGTTTTTCCCGTTTTTCTACGTGATTTTAAATTGTATTGATACTAATTCCTTTTTTAATCGACGAATGGTTTTATCGAACTTCAATAACACGATACTAACTGATCGTTTCGGCCTCAATTTTCATTGAGATTACGTCGACTATAATACTCGTTGAAAGATACACCAGTAAAAGTGTCCGATACGTTAATATTACGATGTATCCTACATATATTTCTCCGGCGACCCCGCTTATATAAAAGAATGTCTTTATTATCGATAATTGTTCGAAGCAGGCGAGTCCTCGTCATCGGCGAGAAAAATCGATTAGTCGCGCCGCAATAAAACGTCGGCACCGCTCGCCCACGTATAACGTCAATTACATGCGAACATAATGTCACGACGGAGACGGCGACGGTATTTAATAAACACCGTATCGAGCGCACGCCGGGATTTTCCGATAAACCGTATCCGCGGCTCGCCCGATATTTTTGTTTTGTTCCGCCGGCGCCGTTTCCGAAGCGACGCGTGGTACGAACACGGCCGTTGTAATTTCTCATGGCGCGACAGCCACACGTACGTACGCCCGTGTATGCGGAATACCATGGAATTCCAGGCCCTCCAGCACCCGGGAAGAGTACGACGAGTACGGGGATCGGGAATATCGGGCGGCTGAACGGCTGGGCGAGCTGGCGGAGGGCGCAGGCTGCCACGCCCTTTATCCGGAATGCCGCAGAAGTGTGCTCGACGTGTTTTCTACATTGACCACGTGAGACGATCGGATGGAAATCTCGACGGGAAGAGGCGGAATTGCATCGGAAGTACGGTCGAAGCCCGGGAGATCGCTAAAATATCGGATCGCCGAACGATTTCATCAAAACGCCAGGATTGGAAATTCAGAAGTTCGACGAGAGATTATATTAGAGAGAGAGAGAGAGAGAGAGAGAGAGAGAGGAGGGGGAGGCACGATTTTCAAAGTATACACTGTTAAATTCAACGTCAAATTATTCCATATGTACAGTTAGAGTTATTTTAACAATTTCTATACATTTAATCATTGCCATTACTTTTATCCACAGTTTCGGTATACTGCTGGTAATACTACTGAAAATCTAGTTCATGTTACATATACTGTAGATTTTTAGTACTGGCAGTGTATCTATATTGAAACATGACTCTAACATGTTATTAATTAATTTAACATGTTGTTTGATTAATTTAAAAAAAATGTATCAAATCTAAATTAATGTAGTTTATTTATTAAATGCATATCTTAATAGGGACAATGTTTATTTTGAAACTAATCACAGAAATGGATTAATTTTCATTTTCACATAAATGAAAATTAAAAATAACAACATATTATATTCAACTTAAAAGATTAGGTTCATCCCGTGAATCTTTGCAGAAAGATTTCTGCAAAAATATGCTATATAGGATTAAACAATGCACGTTAAGCAATCGAGGTCACTATAACGTCCTTCTTACAAAAATATAATGCGACACACGCAGCTGCGAAATATTCCATGTAACTCGGAAATAATTATCTGATTTTTTACGTAAACGACTTGGAGTATTTTTACATTTCAATTGATGTCCTGTTATTACCAATATATTGCATATTATTAATTATTTTCCAATTTATTGTACTGAGAGAAAAATGTGCTTAATTTTTACAAATAATTGTAACAATGTAATAAATTTAATAAATAATTCAATAATAATACTAACATAACATTATTTATGGAAATAAATATTTGCTAAATAAAAAAATACAAAGTTAAATCAACTTAATAATTCTTATATCATATGAATATTACATTTTGTAAATATTCAACTATTCTAAGAAATATTCATTAACATTCAGTATACTTTTCCCTCAGTATAATATTTGAGAATATTATGAATATGATTTTAATCATAATTCTCAGAAAAAGTAGGTAAAAACTAACACAAATATTACTTTAATACAAATATTAAATGAAATATAAGCACGTTAAGTGTATAGACAGTTAAGTATGACACTGTTTTTAAAAAGTAAAAATTTTAATTAACACGAGACTTTTTTATTGTGAACATTCGAAGAAATATTGCATACTTAAAAAGTTTTCGTAAAGAATAGTTATTTAAAAAAAAAAAAAATGGGAAGCAATACTCACATAAAATATTGGGATATAAAAGTGATAAACTCCAGGTGATCATTCTCAGATTAAATAGCTCATTCGATTTGCGCACACACGGAAAGAGCATGTACTATATATTTGTCAATTACAAAATTGAATTCCAACACTACCGCTTCTCGCGTACGAAAGCGAGATTCCTTACAAATAATCCATCTCCGCTCCCGATGTTTCGTCGTTCCAGTAATGTGAGGAGGTCGTGAAAGCGCTTTCCTACGCTTCTCCGTTTCTCCCATTGGCATTCCTCTCTCCTGATTCGGAGTTTCATCTTCCTAAAAGTGCGCGTAAGAAACATGGAGTTTCGGCGGGTGGAATGCCGGCATTCGATATTAAAGAATCCTCGTATCGCGGTTTTTCCGTTACTTCGGCGCTTTCCCGTATAATCAGCCGAAAGAAAAGCTCGTCAAAAAAGCTCGTCAAAAGTTTTCATGGGACGGCTATCGCGATTTCTTTATATTCCTTCGGAGTTGCGTAGAAAGATTATTTACTTTGTCTGGCGTTTTTTCTTTCCTTAATTGTGCGAGAACGGAATCCTTGAGTGGAAGAATAGTGAAAGAAAGATCAGATTATCGGGAGTTTTCCAAGTATTTTAGAAAACATTGAAGTTTGCGAAAGCGCGCATCTCTTTGTTCCTTTATAGATATTACATAATAATTACTAACGTACACGATGAGTTGTTTGATTAGGTACACTATTATATATTATATATTTGCACGTATACACATACAATTCCCATAATAATGCATATTGCGACCGCATTCGCATATATATGCGGTGTATGCGGTTGTCGGTTAATTATTAGATAATAGATATACTGTAGTTAATTATGAATAGATATTAGTTTGGCCAGGGCAAGCAAATTAGCTCTTTCTGAACAATAGAAATGTTCCAAACAATCTTTCAAATTAGAGAATATTTAAAGGAGTCTTTAATCTATCGATATTCTCAGATTGATCTAAAGAAAAGAAAGGTATAAGTCTAAAAATTTAATCAAATACTCATTAAAAACTCATTAGAAACTTGCGAAGCTTCTAAAGCTCAAATGTGCAATTTAATGTTACAATAATATAATGTTTTATATAATTATTTTTTTTAAATATCGCTAAATTTATAATTTAAGAATCTCAGCCTTCATTTTTTTAGGTATAAAAAATATTTTTTTGAGTTATTATTTATGCATCTCATGTTCCAGAAAAAAAATGAACAATTTTTTTGCTTGTAGTTTGTACACTAATCGGTGAGCAACAAAAAGTATTTGTATAAGAGAAATTTTTATAAAAAGATTTTATTTGCAATTATCATAAAATGAATATTAATTAGCAACTTTACTATGAATTTTATCATAATATAAACAAAAGAATTTGCGTGTTTCTGATCTTATAAGCTTGACTGTACGAATACTTTTTGTACGTACAGATAATATGATTATAATTTTTTTATTTTCTTGCTTATTTTTAAGATAATATGTAAATTTTAATTATTACATATCCTTTAAGTAAAATAATTTTGAGAAATATACAATTTATTTTATTCTTTGTTAATAAATCGTTACTTAATGTTTACTTTTTAAAAATAAAGTTCTTTTAGAAAATATCTTTTTTTTTTTTAGAAGATATCTTTACAAATACTTTTTGTACTCACTATTATAAGTTTCCAGAAATTTATCGAAAATAGCTTCATGATGGATTTGAAGCACGACGTTCTATTTACATTTCAGGTGACATCGTCGCAATAAACCTCGAAACTTTCTTTACGTTAACTTCTCTCGGTTGGTTCGGGATATTGCAATCAAGGAAGCGAATCCCGGTTTACGCAGCACATTGGAAAAGCGTTTTAGCATTTTACCCTCGAGAAACGATTTCTTCCCCATAACATTTTATTATGTTGCACCGTGCCTTGCTCACCACATTGTGAAAAGCTCATTTCCTTGGAGCTTCGTAAACACACGTTTTTACGCGCTGTTTTGCGCAGAAATGCTAAACAAGTGCGTCCTTCTTGTGTACAGGCCGCGAATTTGTTTCACGGTTTGTATAATAGTCGTTCACTTTTGAGTCCACGTTGTTTCGAACTATTCTTCAGTTTGCGCGATGTCCACAGCCGGAAAAGCTAAATTTAATGAGAAAAGTTTGTTTTCTTAGGAGAGATGGAGACGGAGGATGCGCGGAATTTTCGTTTATGCATTTCTGTTCGCTTGCTTGACAATATATATCGTTTATTTGCTGCAACGACATAACTCAAAAATTATTTTTCAATTTCTCGCAGAAAAAACGAAAATATAAAAAAAATATCTACTTTAAAAGAACATATTTTTATTGCTCTGCAATCAGCATTACATTACATTTTAAAATTAGTATTACAAAATTTTAATAATTTAAAATATTAAAACTTTTTTGAAAAAAAATTTTGTTTTGTTGTAGCAAATAAGCGATATGTGTATATATTTTAATATTAAATGAAACTTAATATTTTTTATAAAGATTAAGAAAGTTAGATAGGCAAATACAATATTAATTGTGAATTTTATGATAAATTTTAAAGTTAAATTATAAAGTATGGACATTCTCTAACAGAGATTCATATATTTATTATTATTAAACAATTTATTATTTATTAATAATAATCTATGCAGATATATTAAATATAATTGTAGACTAATTACAAATTATAAGTAATAAGTACAAGTTACAATAATAATATAATATTTTTTAATGCTCATGTGAAATAAATAACATTCTTTCATTAAAAAAACGCTACGAATTAATTCCAACACCTAATAATAATAAATGACGGATTGATTACACAATTAATTTTCTAAAAAAATCTCGTGAGAGATAAAGACTGAAAGATATATTTTTACTTTATTTTGACAAAACAATAATGCTTCGAATTTATGGCTGCCTTTTGTATTGTCAATACATTTAGCTTCTCCTCGTCGAATTTTTGGCGACTTTACGAAGTCCCGCGATATTTTCACATATCTCTTTCGATAGGATATGCTTGTGTCTGGAACGGTTGTAGTGAATAGAAACGATTTACTGCCGCGATATCCGCTGTCTGACGCCAATATTCCCCTGCCTCTCTCCCGTCCCAGGAGGAAGTATTACCTGACATTGGATGGAGATTGCAAGTTGGCTTGTCGGCAAAAGTATTTGCATGGATATGATGGTATCATTCGATTCGCCTGACTGACAACCGGAGGTACTAGTTGGTATACTGTACACAGTGTAGACGGGCGAATTGCTGTCATCACTTATAATACACATCGACGCTTGTTGAACGAAAGCCAAGGGCTTTATGGCCATTAAGAAATTAAAGCAATCAGATATGTTTAAATTTGCAATCTATCGCATATGTCTATTTAGATATTTCACTTCAAATAACATTCATTTTTGCAAATAAACAATTTTATTTAAGTATAAAAAAAATTTAGCTAAATAAAGATTCGAAAATAATTTTATTGAATAATCAAAATAATTACATAGCAATTTCAAGCATTGCAAAAGATTGCATTTTGATATTCTAACAATTAGTTTGAGCGTCCTGTATAATTATCTTCATGATTTAACAAAATTATTTTGAGGCCTGTATTTAAATTTTTAGATACTTCAAAAAAAATTGTCCGTGCATCTTAGCGCAATCTAACATTTTTAAGGACTTATAAATTGCAACATTCGCGTTCGAGTAATTTCATACAATAGTAAAGCAAACCACTGCAGTCACTCATTTTAAATCCTCAATTTTGCTTTCAGGTTTAGCCATCAAATCTGCATTAGATATACTCGTATTGTATAAATTAATTATCACGTATTTAATTCTGTTCTGTTCTTAGTGCACGTCGTCTTCACTGTTTCAGCCTCGATTTTTTGTTGCCGATAAATTAATAGTGGAAAAAGAGAAGAAGAGAAGAAGACGCGAGGTGAAGCCTCGAGCTTTCTTCGCTCTCGCTATCGTCTGGACCATTCGCGGACGACCTCGCGACCTTTCGCGAAAAATCAATTTCAGTTGCAAGAGGGAGGAAAGAGGAAGATAAGCCGTGACATCTCATGCTTATGTAGCTGCGCGAACATAAAGTTACGTGTCGTACATTTCATTCGTATCGGTTATGAAAACTGGTCCATTTCTCCGCGACCTGCTTCTGCCGTATGGAGCGAATTGACTTCGCTTCGCCGAAATTGAAATTGCATTTTCAATAGCCGGAAGCGGAGATGAAGAGCTAAATAGCACCGCGTTATACCATGGTGGTTGTTGATTGTAAATATTTGCGGGAATAATAATATTTGTTTATCGTGAGACGACGTGTTGTCTTATTTGTCGAAACGTCATCTACTTAAAGACATCGAGATGCTTCCGCTAAGGATTTTATGTAAAAGCTGTTGACACGATTGCGAGGTCTTTCAAAATCTCATCGATAGCTTGCGTATACAAAGTTAAAGGAAAAAAAAATCCGAAAACATATTGTCAGAGTAATTTGAAATCGATTTTATCTCAGTGAAAATATCAAGATGTCAACAATTTTTTTATTTTCAAAAGTTACGAGTGATTGCAAACAATCTAGTTTTCACAAATTAACTTGCTAAATAATATAAAATTGATGAATAAAAATTGATAAAATAAAAAAATGAAAAGGAAAATTAAAGAGAGAAGTAAATGATATATCATATTATATTTATAATATTGGAAAAATGTTTTATGGTTAATTGATAATCGATATCCAATTTTGATCCAATAGTGAAAGGATTTCTAATTTATTTATTTATGCATGAATAATAAATTATCTTATTACTAAATTGATAGTGTACTTCAAAATTTTATCAGTGATCAATTACTTCTTATTCATCGAATAACGTCCGACAAATAAATACAATACAAAATTTACAATCAATAAGATACAATCTCTTTCTTTCTTATTGTTCTATTGTTGCAGTTATTCATCAAATAACAAGATGAAGATAAATAGTGATTGTAATAAAAAAAAACCCAATATCTAAACCCGCATTTATTATACATAATATAGCCTTATAGAAAATTAATACTAGCTAATTTACTGAAAGACAATAATTAATTACTTGTTTGGAGTACTAAAAGTGCTAAATAACAGTACTTAAGATAAGTAATTAATTACTGTCTCGTCGATATTACTGTCGATATTAAATTGGCCAATATTAATTGGCCAGTAGATTTTTGTAAAAATACTGAAAACTCGCTATGTGCTTATCACATCAACATTAAAAATCGAATATTCTATATTTTTTATTTATTTTATATTTAATAAATTTTATTGCAGATATTTAATAAATTTGTTACACACATGACTGTAGAGAGAAATAGATTTCGTACAATGTGATGCCAGTATAATACGAGTATAGGACAATATAAAGCTATTCTTTTTCTTTTAAATGGTATATCAACTTTTTCGAAATCAATTGCAAAGAGGGAATTCAGCTGGCTATGCGATTCCCGTTTCCATCGTGTCTTTCCGTCAGCGGCGGTCTGCAAGAAGTAAACGAATAAAGGGATATTGCTTATCCCTTTTACTCGGTTAACTTTCCCCCGTCGTTTTGTCCGGCGGTCCGTTATACTGCAGGCAGACGGTACAGAACGTATATTGCGCCTTTTTTGCATCTACAAAGGGGTTGTTGCCGAAACGAAGTTCTTGTATGTTCGCCCAACTCATTTTGAAGGGCTTTGCAGATCGCGCGCATGTTTCTGTACATGAAAGCGCAAATTAAGTGGCGCAATGGTAGCATATGCAGCAACAGAGTCTAGATTCGCGCAATGGGTAAATGTTGACCAGTCTCGTAACGAGAAACCGGATCAAAATACTGAACAGCTCGTGCTTTGTAAACGAAACCATAAGTGAAACAACGATTCGTATCCTGTATTATTATTTCGTGTTATTAATTCGTACGGGATAATTTGCAATAATGTAGAGCTCTTTTAAAATCAATCCCTGTAAATCGAGTTTTTTGAAGCAACATCGGACATTCAATGAAATGTTCTTCGTTCTTTTGGGTTTTTTCTATTAAGCATTTTTTTGCAAAATGTACTCTCTAAAATCTGAATCAGTGGTTAATCATTGATTACTTAATGACACTTAGCATTGGGACTCAATGAAATTCAATTGAAAAAAAAAAAAAGATTAACCATTATATAATTAAAATACTGATATTTACATGTCAGTTTGAATCTTCCAGTAATATACATTGAATTTATACATTAAATTTATATAATATATTAAAACAAGATTTGTTAAGTTAGAGATTTCACTGATTATCAGTAGTTTATTTAAGATTAATGTCAGTAATTGGCCATTGATTTAAATTTAAAGAGTAGAAACTTTTTACCAACACAAATCATCCAATTATTCAGTTGCGAGGGTGACATTTGAATATCCAGCACGGATTTGTCCAGGATGTTCGTGATGTTCTCTCGTGTGCACGTAGTTCATAATTCACGCGACTGTTAGACGACACCGACCGACATTCCGCCGCGCGTGTAAACTATGTTTCATGCCTCGTAGATCTTAACGAATCGTGGCGAGATTACGGCGCGCCTGCACTAACTACGGATATCCAACTAGTGTGAACATCCGTCGCAATCTGTATAATGGACATCCGTGGCGATTGCAGCTGCGATATCTGGATACTCGCTCTGCGCGCGCTTCGGTTCTCAAGCCCTGCAATTTGTCTATGATTTTGTAACCCTCGAACACGCAGTGCTCTCATAAGTTGTGATGAAGAGAAATATAGAGAGACTTCTGCAAATCTCTCTC